TGCTCAGCCCTGCTGCCCGGCCCTGTGCTCAGCCCTGCTGCCCGGCCCTCTGCTCAGCCCTGCTGCCCAGGCCCCCTGGCCAGGTCCTCTGCTCAGCTCTTCCGGCCCAGCCCCCTTGCCCAGGCCCCTGGTCAGTCCTCCTGTTCAGGCCCACTGCTCAGCTCCCCCTGCCCAACCTCCCTGCCTGAGAGGAGAGGGAGCCAGTCCCACCCCTCATTTCCCATGCTTTGGAGATGACCACCCAAGCCACTCCAGGTCCAACACCAACCAGGGCACCTGGGCACGGGCAGATAAGAGGGCAGAGCTAGGCCACGCTGTCCCCTCCCCCACATCCCCTGGACCCCAGGGCTGTCCTACCCCCAGGATCCAGCCTGGCCCAGTCCCAGGAGGACTCACGTGGCCACAGAAGAGGAAAGGTAGGAGGAAGGTGAGCCCTCGCCACATCCATGACTGGAAGCCTTCTGCAGAGAGGACGACGCGTCAGGGCCCAGACCCAGGATCCCCCGGCACCCGCTGCCTGGCCAGGCCAGCTGCCCTACAGTCATCCAAGCGAGGACAAGCCTGTCACCGTGGACGAGCGCTCCCAATGGAAGTGACTGAGGGCGGGCAAAGCGCTGTCCTGGGGCCTGACGGTTCCTGGACGTCAAGCTGCCTGAAGGAGCCTGTGTGCGTGCTCAGACGTGAACTCAACCCGTCACAGCACACTGCACCCTCATTTCCCTCCGTACAAGCCCCAGTGGAGGCAGCCGGATCTTAAACGCTGGCCGAGTACCTCCTCCCACCACCACCACTGGGCCTGGGCTGGACCACGGAGGGTCACCACGGGGGCCTTGCCAGGCGCACCACGTCCGTGCACCCATGAGCAGGGCTCACTGTCTCCGAGGACAAGCAGGTGCTCGAGTTCATAAAATGAAAAGGGTGGGCACAGACAGGCACCCCAGGAACAAACGCGGGAGATGAACACCGTCCCAGGCACACAAGGGAGATGTGGCCAAGGGGGCAGCACACGAGGCCCGTCCTGTGTCGTTCTAATCGGATGCAGTCCTTTCCAGGACACTGAAAACCTAGCCAAGATTAGTGCCAGGTGTTCAGAGGAGGCTGTGGTGTCGCCTCTCCTGAGCACCTCCCTGGGCATGAATGGGCACCAGGCACCCACCAGAGCGTGTCCAGGCACACGCAGTTACACGTGGCACAAGTGTACGGCACTTGGCATCTCCGCGCACACCACAGGGAGGACCAGCCTCTGCGGCCAGCACGTGGCGCCTGTGGACATGCACCGAGGAGGCTGGCTCTGCTCCTGCTGGGCCAGGATCCCGGGCCAGGTTCGGGTGGGGAGGGTGCCGCTGGGCACTGCTACTCACCCACCGTGAGGTCCAGGTGGTTCCGCTCGCCCAGCGCGCGCAGCCGGTACAGGCAGCCCCTCTGGTAATAGTACTGCAGGAACTGGACGCAGCCTGCAGGGGGACCGCCACGCTCAGGATGGAGCCCGGCAGGGTGGACAGACACCGCCAGGGCCACCGGCCAGCGCCACAGCCGGTCCTGAACCCCAGGCCGAGCGGGTACTGCCCACCCCGCAGCTCCAACTCACCAGCTCGCTGCTCAGCAGAGAAACGGAACAGTTTGTTCCTGTGACGACGACAGCTCTGGGGACCCGACGGGGCAACTGATTCTACCCCGATCTACAGGGGTCCTCTCGGAGGCCTTGTGCCAAGCCTCTGCCCATTCTAGAACTTTCTCCTCCCACTCTCTCACACATACACACACACACTGCCCCCATCTGCCCTGATGATTTATCCCTTGGCTGTGATACAACACAGTTCTAGACTGGAAACCTGTGGAGCTTTCTTGGACATGTACCAGGTACTCCACAGAGCCTGCTGGGGCTGGCGGTATGCCGCGGTGGCTGGCACCGTGCGGGGAGAGCTGTGCCCTGCCCAGAGGGGCTGAGGAGAAGGTAGGATCATTTGAACTCATGATAAATCGTTAGACAAGGCTGTAAACAAGGTCAGTGTATGGAAGGATTTCCTGCGTGTAAAATAAACTCTGTTGTTTGTAGCCTGAGTCAGTCCTAAATCACAGGGACCCCGTGGTGCAGAGCAGAACGGGGACTCCACGGCTGTGAGCCTTCAGGAGCAGCTGGCCAGGGCTGTGTCCCGCAGCACCTCTGCAGGACTCGTACGTGTCTGTCTGTCCTTCAGTACCTGACCCGTTTCACTCAGGACATAGTCTACTAGGTTCCTCTAAGTTATTGGTGAAATCAGACCTCTTTAACCAGACAGGGACAGCTGACTCCTGAACTCAGTGTCAGGGCAGCACCGATCCCAGCCCATCCCTGACGCCGAACCCCTCGTCATCCCTGTAGACTGTGATGTATCACGTCCGGTGGGCTGAGGAGAGCCACAAGGCCACTGCGTCACAGTCCCCACTTCCCGAGAGGCCACTCGAAGCTCAGCTCCCCTGGGGCCAGAGGGCAAGTGCTCTACAGAGCTGGAAGCCACGTGGGTGCTCTGGACCACTGCGCCTCCAGGGCCCCCCTTACACCAGGGGGACCCCACATGTAAGTGGACACGCGCAGCTCAACCTGTGATGCACAAGGTCAGTGAGTCCCCCGAGGACTTCTTCAAAGCTGGAGAGCAGAGTGGGTGTCCCACGTCCCCAAAGGTCCCCCCATGGGCTGGCTTGGGCTGGGTAAGGGTGGGGCCGTGACCAGGGCTCCAGTGGTGGGGTAGACGGCCTTGATCTTGGGGTACAACGGCTCTTTTCTGGGTTTCCTCGGGCCCTCCCTCCCCATGCTGGCCAGGGCACCCCAGAGGCACAGCGATGTCTCCCCAGGCCACCCCCGCCCTGAAGGACTGCCCCCGGCCCTGGGCACAGGTACTCACTCTGAAAAATGGAAAAGGCTAAAAACTGGTTTCGAAACTTCTGATAAATCAGTCCATTGGGCCTGGAGAGACAGGAAAGGCCAAGCTGAGGGGACGGGCCAGAAGTCAGCCTGGGCTGGCTCCACTCCAGCGTGAGGGCCATCTGGTTGGACACCTGTCACCCCACTGATGGCCAGGGCAGACCCAGCTGACCCCTTTCTCCCTCACTGCTTCACATGATCATCCCCCCCAAAGCTGGGCCCTTGGCTCACGAGGACCGTCCCCGACAGATGGGACTGTCCTTTGGTCTAGCTGCTGGCCTGTTAGAAGTCCAAGCGCTCTGAGCCCGTCTCCGCCACAACCTGGAGAGACAGCCGGGCTGCAGCGAGATCGGGACCCCAGCCCTTCCTCCTTAAGTGAGCGACTCGTGGTTGAGAACAGAGGGGAACACGCTAAGCAGCTGTTTCAAGTCCTTTCTAGAACGAGGCAGCCCGTGCTGAAGCCCCCACTCCACAGAGACCCCCAGCCGGTGAGACCCCACAGCCAGCCCCCTGGCCCAGCCTCAGCTTCCTCCAGGCCTGGCCCCACCGCTCCCACCAGGAGGCGGCTACTCACCACGTCAGCATTACTCCCGACAGGAACGTGGACACGTAGTGGTGAGACACCCACCAGCCTTTGATCCTGAGAGGAGAGAGGGGAGCTCAGGCAGAGGAACGTGGAGGCGCCGTAACCCTAGTTCTTGGTGGCAGCCCTGGAGCAGTTCTTGGAACCAGAAATGGGCCCAAGCGATGCCAAGCGACGTTAATGGTTCAAGGGCTCCGAGGGCCGGCGGCCACCCTGTGTCCATGATGACAGACTAGCTGTTTACTTCCCCAAGTCAGCTATGTCCTGCTCGTGACACAGGTGCGGGACAGACGTGGGGTCATCATGCCCTGGGATGGCCCTGATGCCAACTAGTTAACCAGCCGGCTGACCCACCCTACAGTCACCCCCCACCCATGCAGATGCTCAGAGACCCGTCAGGCCCCTCCCACTTCGTGTCACCTTCCCCGCCCTTCCTTCCCCTCCCCTGAAGTGCTCCTCATCTCATCTCCTGTCCCTTGAACCTGCCAAACCCAAGGCCACCCCAGCTTCATACCAGCCGTCCTCAAAGCCCAGGACCCGTGCTTGACTGCCACGTCCCCTGCCCACGAGGCCTTTCTCAAGCATGACCTGAAATGCCACAGCCCCGACAGCCCGCATCCTGGAGTAGGGTGCTTGTTGAGCCCCAACACTACAGAGAACCCCACATTCCTGTGCTTCCCTGCTCCGCCTGGACGCTGCCTTTTGTTAACAGACAGAACCCTCCATCAAGTTCACGGGTGCCATTCTTAGAGCAAGGGCGAGGCGCTTCATGTCTGCACCACATCCTGTGTAATTCTCTTTCAGTATCTCACGCTTCTGTCATGTTACCGCGCACGGGGGAGGCGTGGTGGCACCCTGCATCACACGCTGGGCCGCTACCTCAAAGCTCAGCAGTTCCCACCCACCACGTGCTGGGAGGGAGAGACGGAGTCTCCTCCCGCTAAGACTGGAAGCCTCTGAGCCCCAGTGGGGTCCGCCGAGTGGGAACAGACTCAGCGGCAGCAGGGGGCCAAGAAGCCACACCACTGTCGCCTGACGGTGACCGGGGGCCAGACCCACCATTTCTCTGAAGCCTGCCGTGGGGGGCGCATATTTCACTCATTTTAGGTGTACTTTAACTCCACAGACACGTTCATTCCAGACAACTGAGGACCACGTCCTGTCTTTGAAGGGCCTGCCTGCCTCCCGCCCGGAACAGGTGTACAGCAGATAGTCCACAAACACAGCAGCTCAGAGAGAGTTTCTCCCCAGGGCTGTGCACCCGGGACACCCGCCCCGTCCACTCCCGTCCAGAGGCTGGGAAGACCCTGTTCTCAGACTCGGAGGACCCCCAGCTGAAGGCCCCCCACAGTGAGATGTCAGGCCTGGCTCTCACTGCTGCCCGGAGCTGAGGCGGCCCAGCGGCAAGGGGCTGGAGCCTCCAAACTCTTAAAGATAGAGCGTCACTGAACCAGCTCGTCCAGGACTCAGCTGCTTTGCTACCACCCCCAAACCCTGCACAGTAGGGGCTGGGGGCCAGGAGATGGACCTCAATCTTCCAGGACTTGGAGTGGAGGTCCAGGGTGGTCACGACTCACAAAACAGAGCAATCGTGAGGCACGGGTCCAAGGGGTGAGGTGTGGGGTGAGGTGCGGGGTGAGGTTTCCTTTTTAGCTAAAATCATCCTGCTTTTCGAGATCAAGGCCCAGGTCGGGACCTGCAGCTCTGAGGTCCTTTAGATGACACCTGTCATCCTAAGGGGTGCCGCTGCTGCATGTCAGGGACGCTGCGGTGGCACCCTGTGAAGTCCCCTCATGCCATGCCCCTCCAGGTGGCTTCCGAGAAGTGGGGTGCCCAAGGAGAGGCCAGGTGCGCTGTGGCTTGTCCAGCACCCTCTCCCCAGCCACACCAGCTTACACACACCATCAGCCGTGTCCAGGGGTGTACCTGGGTCCCAAGATCATCAACCACACCACACACCAACCTGTAACATTTCTGCCACTCTTAGGTAAGTGGAAGTTGGGGTGTCAAGGTTTCAATCTGCACGTCCCTTGGTGAAACAGAAGGTTCGCAAAAGAGACAAGATCCTCCTGAGGTGAACTGACACGGGGGGCCCCCAACCATGGGCTTGAGCACGGCAGTGAGTGGGTGGGTGACGCCCCACGATGAAATGCTTCACTCTGCTGAAATCGGGGCGAGCCTACAGAGAACACCAAGCAGGTGGGGAGGGTCTGAGCACCTTCGAACCTGAACCATGGCTGTCCTAAGAGTGGGGACTGGCTACCTTGACCGTCCTGCTCTGTGTCACACGAAGATCACGATGAGCCTTTCTGGTTTACACAAGAAGGATTCACGTGGTTCCTGCTGTGTGCACGTCTTGGATGGTTCACCTGACGGGAACTCGAGTCCAATCAGGTGAAGCCAACGTCCTTCTAGTGACAGAAGTGCCGGCCGGTCACAGTGAGGCGCATCTCTGGCTTCCTTCGTGCTGGTTGGAGCACACGCAGTAACGCAAGGCCCCCCAGCTGAGCTCTCAGTGGCTACACCAAGCTGCTGGGGACCCCTCTGGCTTGGAGGGAAGCACGCCTCACCCCAACGCAGATCTATCTACAGGAGAAAACTGACAGGAGCAACTCTAAGTATCCGACAGGAAGCTGAGGGTGGTGAGTTCACGTTAAGGGGGCTGCTGGGCCAACCCAGAAAAAGGGGGTGAGGACAGATGCACAGCTCAAAGAATGTAATCCGTGTCACTGACGGTCCACCTGGAATCAGGTGACTGCTGTACGATTTGTTGTGTACATTCTCATTAATACATAAAAACCCAAACTCAAACGCTAACAGCCCAAGCAAGAGTGATGGCAGGAAGTAGCCCTCAGTCATCGCGTCTTCTCATCATCACAGACCTCATGTGACTTTGGACAATAAGCTTACGTGTCTCAGCCCCAGCCGGGGAGGCTGCCCGAACGGCGGGAGACAATTTGATATGCTCTGTATTCTTGATAAGGAGCCCAGGAATGACACATGCTAACCAAAGGCTGACAGTTCAAATCTACTAGCCGGTCCATGTTGTTGCTGTTATGTGCCATTGAGTAGCCTGCAACTCACCGTGACCCTGTGTATGACAGCTCTGAAGCCTGCCCTGCCCTGAGCCAGTCTCGCTGACTCCAACCGCCACTGCCCTAGTTATTTTATCAATCCTTGTCATCCGGAGTCTTCCTCTCCTGCACTGTCCCTCCACCATTTGGAGCATGATGTCCTTCTCCAAGGACCAGTCCCTTCTGGCCACGTGCCCAAAGTATGTGAGGCGGAGCTTCAAAATCCTAGCCAACAATGAGAAACTTGGTTTCACCCTCTTCAAGACAGACTTACTTGTTTTCTCAGCGCTCCACCGTATATTCAAGACTCTTCTCCAACACCACAGCTCAGAGGCATCAAGTCTTCTTCTGTCATCCTTAGTCACTGTCCAGCTCTCTGATGCACAGCAAGTAACTGCGAAGACCATGGCCTGGATCAGGTGCACCTTAGTCTCTAGAGTGACATCATTGCTTCTCAGTACCCTGGAAAGGTCCCTGGCAGCAGATTTTACCAATGCAATTCGTCTTTTGATTTCCTGACTGCTGGTGCCAAGAGTGTTGACTGTGGAGGCGAGCCAGCTGTAACTATTAACAACTTCACTCTTTTCTCGATCCATCATGGTGCTGCCAACTGGCCCAGCGGTGAGAATCTCTGTCTTCTTGATGTTGAGCTTCTCCCCATACTGAAGGCTGCTGTTTAACAGTTTCCATGCAAGAAGACTACAGTGCTTGACTTTCTGCAGCAAGCGCTTCAGGTCCTCCTCGGTTTCAGCCGGTCCTTGAGTAAACATAAACATTTACAGCCAGGAAAGTGGGGCTGAAATGGATTCAATGGGAAGGATTTCTTTAAAAAAACAATTTCTGGCACAAACAGGGCCATATAACAGTTGGCACTCAATAAATCCTTCAAGTGAATGGCCTGGCATCCTGGAGGTTCAGCCGGGACAGGACAGCTGACGTGGTGGCAGGTCTCACAGGTGCTATGGGAGCACACAGGGACAGGCCGAGGCGTCCATCATTCTCCGCACCCCATGGTCCTCTTGACTATCAGTCCAGATACCGAGGGGTCAGTGTTCCATCAGCAGAGGTGTGGAGCCCCCACGTGAAGGGCAGTCAAGAGGTACCTGCCAAGCCGTACGAGCCTCGGTCTCAGCCCTGACTCCGGGTCCCTCTGTCCTCCCACTGTGGACACGGCCCAAGTCAGATGCAGACTGACTCACAGCGGCCTCTCACTTCACACCACAGCAAGGCACAGCTCACCTGCCTCGGGGAGTGGAGAGTGGTTCTTCCCAGCGTGGCCCCTGGGATCTGGTCATGTCCACCTGCGCTCCAGAGCATGGCTGTCTCCACCTTCACCCCTGGGCCCGGCCACGTCCACCTGCGCTCCTGGGCCCGGCCACGTCCACCTGCACTCTTGGGCCTGACTATCTTCACCTGCGCTCCTGGGCCCGGCCATGTCCACCTGCGCTCAGGTGTGACCAGGAGCAGGGACATGATCCAGTCGGAGCCAAACAGGCCTGGAGACATGCAGGTAGCCCACCTCTTGGCTCTGCTCTTCCGAGAACTGCAGTGTGGCCTCGCTTCATCCTACGGCTTGAGATCCTCTCGCTTCGGCAAGGATGGGTGGGCGCTGCGTCTGATCCGCGAGCTGGCTGCAGGGGCTTCAGATGAGAGACACGGTGCTCTCTCACTGGGGTCCCTCCCTTCTGTGCTCTCTGGGCAAGATGCCCAGTAGGAGGGGAGGGCTCACCGTGCCCCCCGCCCTCAGCCTGTGGGGGAAGCTGAGTCTCTACTGGATGAGGCACAAGGCTGAGCGGCCTGGAGGTGGACCATTCATGCCGCGCTGTCCCCCCACTGCCCCCACTGGAGCAACGGTACCACAGCACCAGCCTGTGATTCCTGGGCCCACGTGGTGGGAGAGAGGCCCCTAAAAAGGTACATGGTCTATAGAGCCTCTGGGGGCTCAGAAGACCCAGACTGAATTCTCTCCGGATCCCCACCTGCTGTCAGTAAATGTACGCGAACCGCCCCCAAGCCTGAGCTCAGGGACCACCCTCTGCTCAAGGACCGCCCTCCTGCACCACCGCCCAGCCTGAGCTCCAGAGGGGCCTCGGGAAGGACCCCACTTCCTGCTATGGGGACAGAAGCCATTCGGCTTCCTTCCCCTCTCCATCTTTTGAGTGTACCCTACTCTTGTAGGGACCCTCACTCAACCCTGCTGCATTCTCCATGGTAACCCCCATCCCCTTCATCCAGAGCTTGGCAACTAGGAAAAAAGCTGAGCAGAGTAACTCTTACTAAAGTGTAAAAGACTACAAGTAGCTGGTCATGTGACAGCTCTCAGCATTCTTAACTCTTCATGACCCCTGGGAAATGCGGCCCACCAACACCTCCCACATGTGAGATTTAGTGGGAAGCCACGATCCCACTCTTAGGGCATCCTGCCATTTAATGGGGGCCTGCATGAGTCTGAAGATACCTCACCTCATTTGACTACCCTCAGCCCTGAGGACCCCCTGCGGTGTCTCACTACCATAATCCACACCCACAGCCTCTGAGTGGGTCCTGATTCTAGCCACCCCGTCAGACCCAGAAATGCCCCTCTGAGTGTCCAAGCCTGGCGTCTCTAGACGGCCTCCTCCTCACCTGCAGAGCAGTGGGGACTGAACTGCCGAGCTCAGCCGCTGGGCAGTAGCCACTGTGCTACCGGGGCTTTTTTCAGTCTGTATTAACAGAAATTGCTTTTCTTCAAGATGCCTTCTATTACAGAAAACACGGTTCCAACCAAAAATTCCAAGTAAATCGGAAAGCTTCAGAGCTGTTGTACACAGGGTCTTGAGAGAGTACAACTGAGTCCAGTCAAAGGGTGAAGGGCCAAGATCTGTCGCCTGTGGACACAGGAGGGGAACACCTAGGTCCCTGTCAACTGCCTGGCTCCATCGCGCCCCAAGTCCCCCCCCCGGAACCACCTAGGAGCAGAAAGACACTCACACTGGCTGCTGCCAGGACAGGCCTGACTTCCTGTAACGCTATGGGCAGCGGCTGGACAGCCGGTCGATCCTGCCCCACCGTCAGGAGGTCCACCAGGCTCACCATGCCTGGAGGTTTCCTCGCTGAATCTTCCTCTCCTTCACTGCCCTCCACTTTTCCCACCATCATGTCTTTGTCCAAGGACTGGCCCTTTCTGACAATACGCTCAAAGTAAGGAGACGAAGTCCACAGCCACGCTCTTCGCCGTTAAGGAACGCCCTGGCTGGCTGGCTGGCTTCCGCAGCCCGTGGGGCCCTCCGCGCTCTGCACACTACAATTCTACGGCACCATCTCCTGTCCTGGCTTCCTTCCTGTCCAGCTTCCACACACACAAGCAGCAACTGAAGACCTTGATGAGGCGCACCTTAGTCTTTGCGCTGACGTCCTTGACACTATTCTCTCTAAAATCAAGAACTCTGAGTATTACGGATTGGCACAGTGGCTGCAACTAGGGGCTCAAGCAGCAAGGACTGAGACACCGCAGGGCCTGGGCAGCGTTTCGTTCTGCTGTCCTCGTTGTACCCAGTGCCGTCCGGTGTGAACAAACCCTGACTTGACTGCACACCACCACCGGTGTTACTTGTCGGGGGGTCTTCTCCTCCAATGCTTCCCGAGCACGGGGCACTGACCGTCCAACCTCAGATGGTGCTGGGGGACATGACCTCTCCCGACCTTCCCTCCATGTCCTGATTCGAATAGTCTCCACTGCTGTGATGTATCAAGTCAGAGTGACCCTCCAGTGGCTTTTCAGAGGCAGTAAAGGGCACAGAGGAGACCCCCAGGCTTATCCCGCGGAGAAGCGGGGGGATACTCTGTACCTCTGGGATCGCAGTGCAGCTTCTCACCACCAGGCCAGAGCCTCAGTTACGAGCTCGGGTATCTTTAACGATGCTCCTGATTGGCTCATCTCCCTTTTCAGACACACACACACACGCACGCACGCACGCACGCACGCACAGGAGGCAGCCTCAGAGCCTTCAGGGAGCAAGGGTCACTCAGCTCAACTGTATTGAGAATACACAACAAAAGGATAATATTTCAACACTCTCCTTTTTTCTGCAAATGACACTGGGTTTCCTTCATAATTTTTCCTTTTTAAGTAATTCACTTTGGAAGCAGGAGTGGCACCCACTTCCTAAACAGCATGCTTCCGGAAACTATGAACTTTGATAAATGTCGATGGTTGTAGAGGGGCTTCAGGCCTTTGAGTCATGCTCGACTCAAAGGCAATCAACAACAAGCAGTAATTCATAATCATTTAAATGAAAAAGGGTGGTTTAAAACGTGCAGAGAGTGTGGGCCTGTGACAAGGTCTGGCGGACGCCGTGGGTGGGACAGAGCAGACGTGAGCAGTCACATGTGTCGCACCCCCAGGAGATGGTGGGCCCCCGGCCTGTCCCCCCGTTACCTCGAGCCATTGCTGATGAGGATACTCTCCCGGATGGTCAGGGTGCAGTAGTACCACACGAGCAGGAAGTTGAAGACTTCGTCTGTCACCCTGTCGAAGACAAGGAGCGTGACAACCAGGGACGGGTGACCCAACCCCAACCGCAAGAGAGAAACAAGATAGGCACTGGGGTTTCCTGGGGAAGCCCTGTCCCTGCAATTCCCCAACCGGACCCCAGGAAGGCAGGGAGCTGGCTTCCCAGTCACCACCCCTTCCTCCTAGAAGGCGTGGCCCCCAAGCATCGTCCCACCTGTCCTGCCACCTGCCATCTGCCATCCCACCTGTCCTCCAAGCCCTCCCTGAGGTCCCTCTGTCCTATCACCCTTAGCAACCTGCTGAATTCTTTCCCTTCACTGTAATGTGAGCGGAAGTGTACAGAGATACGGGTTTTCCATTCAATGAGTCATACAGATTTTGGTTTGGGACACGGATTTGAACTCTCACAATGGAACAGCATTCTTCCCAGTTCACCTCTGTGTAAACTGCTTCCACTTGTCCTTTTCTAGACCTGCCTGGCTTCTGAGCCGTAGCCCTGAGCCAAGGGTGTCCTATGATCTTATGTAGAAGGTTGTTCTAAGGTAGTAAATTCTTCATGAATCCTAACACCCTGGGGAGTAAGTGTTCGTTGCTGGAGTTTCCTGAACACCCAGGTTAACTGTCACAGTATGGTTCACAGAGTTCTGTTCTGAGCAACAGTTATCATTCATAGAGTTCTGTTCTGAGCAACGGTTATCGTTCACAGAGTTCTGTTCTGCAGTCTAGTCTGGGGAGCAGTGCCTGGGCTCTTCAAAGGCTGCAAGTGGCCGTGCATGTGGAACAAAAGAAAAAGGAAGAGGAAATGAAAGATTCAAAGAGAAAAATTAGCTTCCAGGACACACATGGACATCTCAGTGCAACAAGACCCGGACGGAGCCCAGCAACCACAAGCGTCCATTCTCATCGGGCCTCAGAACACATCCTCCTAAGAAATGGGGGAAAACTGAGGAGCAAACGTCAAGTTCTTAAAAATCCAGACACCCTGGAGCAGTGGAGGCTGGAAAGCTCGCCCTGAGCGACTCCGTAGACTCTGAACCAAAACTAGCCCTGAGGCCACCTTTTTAGCTAAATGACCACCAGTTCACAAAATTAAAAAAACAAATCTGTGAATACTGTGCTTCTTAAAAAAAAACCCACACAAATCACCCACAGGAGACTCAACTGTCAGTAAATTCCTTTAAAACAAAGATGAGAAGGTAAAGGGGAAGGGGAACTCGATTCATGAAAACAGAACCACCAGAACAGAAATTCCGAGACTCTAGCATATTGGGAACACCCTGTGTGACCTCCTTGGGGCTCTGTCAGACCTGCAAGGGTGGGGAGGACCCTGGTGAGATGGGCTGACCGTGGCTGCAACACGGACCTGAGCACAGCAAGCTGTGGCCGGTGCAGGACCGGCTGCCCCTAACATCGCTGTGAGTCTGAACCAACTTAAAGGCACCTGACAATAACTCCCCATTTTACTGATGAGGAAACTGAGGCTCAGAGCGGGGAGCTGGACATCTCAGACCACACAGCTGGTAAGCACAGGAATGCCCAGAGCTGGACCTGATTACTTCTACCTGGCTCAACCCTGAGGAGGTCCTGGTCTGAAGGTGGGAGGACGCAGCTTCCGACCCGCCAGCTGCCTCCGTGATGCCTCCTGAAGACCAGAGGGCCCGTAGAGTGGGGACGAGGGGGGGGGGATGAGGAACAGCAGACAGACAGAAGCACGGAAGCTAAGGGCTCAGTCCAAGGCCACATGGACAGGCCAGGAGGCCCAGCACTGGACACTGACACAGGCAGGGACAATGGCCACATGATGACAGAGACTGGAGCAAGGCAGTAACCAGCAACCAGTAGAAGCTGGAGACAAGGAATGGTCCTCCTTGGAGCCTCGGGAAGGCCCTGCCCCATCACCACTTCACAACACGAGGACTTGGCCACCCCACAAGCTCACCCTCAGAGGGCCCTGGACGTCCTGCCCCGGAGGTCCTGCTGCGTCTCAAGACCTGTACCCCTTCCTGTGGGGCCCGTGAGCAGGCATTCCTGATCTGTAGCCCCTGCCCAGCAGGAGAGCGGGTCAGGCCTCAGGCAGCGGGCGGCACGGGCCCAGGGCACGGGAAAACCTTTGTCTGGGCATCAAGTAAGTAGACCAGCAGCTGGATGCCCGGCCAAGCGGCTGCCAGGAAATGAACCCTTGACACGAGGGCCAAGTGCCCGAGCTGTACTTGGCCATCTCCCTTCAGGCAGAAAATCCAGGGCCAGAGGGAGAAACTGAAAGCCTCTGGGTGAGCCCCTCAGCCCCCGCCACCTCACCCTCCAGCAGCAGGGCCTTGTCCTGCTTAAACAATAACCGTAATGTTCTCAGGGGGCACCACCATGTGCCAGGTGCTGTCCTAAGCCCTGACGCCTACAGTGTTAGCTCAGTTAACCATCACGACACCCCCTTGTTCTACAGATGAAGAGGCTGAGGGTCAGAGAGGACCTGTGCCTGCGGAAACAGCCAGTCAGCCATGGGACCTGGATTCAGACGCAGGCAGTCTGAGCTCTTCTTTTTAACTTTTTAAAAACTAAGATACAGTCCACGCACCATAAAATAAAACAGCCTTTCAAGTGTATAACTCACTGGGTTTGAGTTTATTTAGAGTTATATAACCTAACACACTAATTCCAAAACATTTGTCACCCTAAAAAACAATGAAACACAGGCCGATATTCCTCTGGTACTCTTTCCTTTCAGCTAAGATGCACCTGACATTTGTGACAATGTCTCTAGTGCCACGGCCTTATCTAAACCCAGCTTGTATTTCTGGTAGGTCTGTCGATGTGCTGTTCCAGTCGTTTTAGGATAATCTTCAGCAGGATTTTGCTTGTGTGTGAAATGAGTGGTAGTGTTTGACGATTTCCACACTCTGTCGGGTCACCTTTTCTTGGCATGGGTGTAAACACGGATCGCTTCCAGTCAATTGTCCAGCTTTCCTAGCACAACCTGGGGAGCACATTCAGGGCAGCATCTGTTTGCTGACATACATAAGCTGGTATTCCATCAAAGCTGACCTTCCAATGGGTTCTCAGAGACTTTAAATCACAGGAGGAGACTGTGCATCTTTCTCCTATGGAGCAGCTGGGCCTCATTCAGGCTCTAGTCTTCTCAGTCACTTGCTATGCACCTGAGAGCTGGGCAACGACTAAGAGATGCCCTTGAGTCGTGGTGTTGGAGAGGAGTACTGAACACAGATTCAACAGACCGCCAAGGGAACTAACAGTTCTGTCCTGGAGAGGGTGAAACCAAGTTGCTCCTTAGAGGAAAGGATTCTGAAGCTCAGTCTCACATACTGTGGCCATGTGGCCAGGAGGAACCAGTCCTTGGAGACAGACATCATGTTCAGAAGGGTGGAAGGACAGCGCAGGAGAGAAGACCCAGGAAGAGATGGTTTGACACGGTAACTAGGGCAACAGGGGTAGGTGTGTCGGAGTCAGTGAGACTGGCTCAGGACAGGGCAGGCTTCAGAGCGGCTGTGCACAGGGTCGCTGAGCTACAGGTGACTCGATGGCACAGAACAACAAAAAGTCCAAAAAGACACCCTTGTACCTACTGTTAGTCGCTCCCCATCTCCCCTGGCTTAGAGTAAACCAAGTCCTTGAAAACACAGGTCTGTAATGATATAACGTGGGAGATATGGAGTGATCCCCTATTATTGATAAACTGTAAAGGATGAAGGGGGAATGCATCACCCTGAGGCCAAAACAGCCCTAATATGATGCAAAGAGTCTCCCTGATGTGGCCTGTCACGCCCTCTGTCTCAATGGAGGTTAAAGGGGAAGAAAGCAGCACGTCACCAAGGACGTGTCCCACGCCGGAGCAGCACACGTTCTCCCCGGGGGCTCTGAGAGGAAGGTCCAGGACACAGGAAGGGCAGGGGACATTCAGGTCCCCCAGACGCTGAGGCTACAGGTGGCGAAGGAGAGAAGGCCTGGCCCCACCCGTAATGGGCAGCAGCGGGGTCAGTTCCCGAGAGCTGGCACCCTGACCTTGGACTTCGAGTCTCCTTGACTGTAAGTGTGAAATCTGTTCAAGCCACCCGTTTGTGGAATCTTCAGGACACCGCACCTGCGCTCCCGGGAGCTACGAATCGACTTCGTGCGTCCAGGGATTTGTCCATTGTAGACACTGCATCTAAATCACCGTGGACGTGGCCTTCTGTGGCTGCTTTTCCCCAGCGCGAGGCTGCCCACTTCCCAGCACCTCCTAGCACGTGTCAGCACAGCATAACGTCCAGTGGCTGAGCCATGTCCCACCGCAGGGATACAAGCCGCTGCTGGTCACGCGGCCCAGGACTCAGGCTGCTTGTCAGAAGGTCAGCAGGTCAACCACGGGGCAGCCGCTCCAGGGATGCGGCGATGCCAGTCGGCTTCTGTAAGGATTCCGGCCTCGGAAGCTGACGGGCCAGCTCTCCTGTGTCCCGTGAGTCCGAGTGGACTGGACAGCAGCAGGTGACGGTGTGGACACACCACACGGGCCTCTTTCGCACTGTCATCGGCCTTTCTAGGCACCTGTAACAGGTATTTATGGGACGACTGGGGACTGCACGGAACTGTCAACTTCCCTTTGCTACCGCTGCTGACCGCTCTGAAAGGGATCACCGGAGAGGGTCCACCCCGAAAGGGATCACAGCAGAGGGTCCTGTATAGAGCAGGAAAAACGTCCAGGCCCGCCGGTCTAGTGGAGACTGCAGTCAGCCCTCAGCCCATGGCCCTTAGGAGGCCTCGGACCCCAGCACCAAAGGCAGCCTGTGCCTCAGCTTTCGGCAAATCACATCACGGGCCGGCTGAGGAGGCAGACAGTCATGACCGGGCGACGGGAGGCCGGCGCCTCTGAGCGCTCAGCCACTCGACACGCAGGGCGCCCCGAGGAGGCTCGCGGAGGGAGGGTGTGGAAGGGGGGCTGCTGCCTCGCGGGGAGGCTCAGCAGCACAGCTGTGAACCACTGCGCCGGCTGCTCTGGGAGCTTCACTCAGACGCCCCCTCACCTCATCGCCTCGGATACTGCGGAAGCAGGAGACCCTGGCCCCCTCCCTGCCCCCGCACGCACGCCCAGCCCGTACCTGTAGTGAAGGAAGAACCGACAGGCCACGGCACCGAGGAGCAGGATGATCGTCAGGTACAGCTTGAACTTCTCATACTCGTCCTTATAGGCGAACCTGCCGCCACAGACCCGCCAAGGTCACGCACGGCACGTGGCCTCAGGCCCTGGCTGACCACCGCCCCCACTGGGGTCTCCCCTTGCCCTTGAATTCATGGGGACAGTCGGTGAGAGGACGACGGTCCCTGAACCAGTGGTTTAGGGCCCGAGGAGAGGGGCTCAACCAGCCTATCCAAGCTGGGACACCAAGGTTCGCTTTCTTCTGGAAGCGGATCAGCTTCCACTTCCACGAGACAAGTGTGCGGTAAGGTCTGTGCGATAAGGGACGTGGAGGGGCCCGTCCACACAGCACAGTCCGTAAAAGGAAAGTAAACCTCCCCAGAGCTCCTCCCATGGAGGAGTGGCCCTCAAGGACCGAAACTGGAGCCCAGCTGTGAGCCTGCGGATGTGCTTTTATCTGTCAGGATCCTAGCCTGGGACCATCTCTCCTGAGCAGAGAAGAGCACAACGCTCGGGCCAGAGAGACGACACGTACTTGGCCTGGTTGCTGAGAAGGGTCACATTCACGTTGCCCAGGACCAGGTTCAAGTAGAGCCTAGAAGGAAAAGAGAAGTGAAGCTCTTGCGTTTTGCTTTTACAGAATGCGGACTAGGCCGTGGCCTGGCAGCAGAATGGACACGTCCACTGGGGAGAAGGGCAGCCAGGCTCGCGGCCGTGGGAGGTGAGGCTTTGTCGCACATGCTCCGGTCATGTTATCGGAAGGGGCCATCTCTGCAAAAGGACGTAATGCTGGAAAAGGACATGGTCAGCACAAAGAGAGGGTGACCCTCCCGCAGAGGGGCTGACCCCGTGGGGGTGTCAGCGAGCTCAAACAGCAACGGTGAAGACGCCCAGCTGCGTGCGGTCCTGGTGCACACGGCTCACCGTGACCCCCAACGGCCCCACGTGCACCTCACGACAACAGGAAGACAGCTGGGAGGTCCTGCTAGTGGGCTGAATGGTGTCTGTCCGAACACCTAAAATCAGTGAGTGAGACCTTATTTGGGGAAAAAAGTTTTCAAAGATGTCCTTAAATTAAGCCCCTTGAGACAAAATTTGGATTGAAACTAAAAAACTCACAACTTTCAGGTCAGAACTGGTTGAGAGTTGACCCGCCACCGGGTTTCTGAGGCTATAAACAAGGCCGTCATTCTCCTGAGCGGGTGCCTGGTGGATTCGAACCACTAGACACTTGTCTTTGTAGTCTTCCTACAGACTATGTCCCCAGGATGCCCTCCTGAATTCAGGGTGGGCTTTAAATCCAATGACAGTAAGCGAGAGGAGTAAGATTAAAGAAAGTGAAGAGCAGAGACGGAGTAAGGGACGGTGAAGCCAGAAGCAGTGTCCCCAGAGGTTCCTCGAAGGAGTCCTTCCGGGGAAAGCCACCACCCAGCCCTGGAGTCCTTTCACATCCCTCCCTCATGTCCTCTTTTCCTCTGGACCTCAAATGCCCACAGGGAGGTGGAAGGTGAGTGGATCAGGTGTTCCAGTCCCCAGCTCCTACCCGTTCTTCTTTGGCAGGTAGGCCTCCATGTCAAAGAAGACGTTCTGGCGTTCCTTGATGCTGGTGCCCATTTGCTGCACAAGCTCCACTTCCTCCTGGCTGGCATGGCTTTTGTACCTGCGGCCAGAGGAGAAGTGAGGGCATCAGATCGGAGAGAGGATTTAGATGCACCATCTTCCCACCGTCCCCATCCTGACACTCTGACAGCCTCGGTTCTCCACCTGCTCTCTCTGGGTTTGATCCTCCGGCCTTCTGGGTTTGACCCTGGAGCCTCCGGTCTGATCCTGGAGCCTCCTACATCTGCTCTCTCTGGGCTTGACTGTGGTGCCTGAATCTGCTCTCTCTGGGCTTGACTGTGGTGCCTGCATCTCTGGCCTCGATTTGATGGTGGTTCCTCCATCTGTTCTTTCTGGGTTTGATTCTGGTACTTCCATCTGTTCTGAAGTTGAGTCTGGTTTGTTACTAGCTGTGTGACCTTGGAAAAGGACCATTCTGCCTTATTTTCCACACCCTACAATGGGGATAATATCAGGCCTGCCTCATAGACACTGCAGTTGTAAAGACTAAATGCTTTGACACAAAATAAGGCCTTTAGGAATGGCATCCCTCGCACTCGGCGTTCACTGGAGCTTGGCTGGCAGTACTATTCTCCGGCTGCTCTTTGCAGAGGACAAGCACAGAGATTACTGGGAGGGCAGACAAGGGCGTGGGAGTGTAAGTCTCCTGTCAGCAGGGGAAGCCAGTCCCTGCAGGGACATCATGGGTGTCAAAGGAGAAAGTCAACACGACAGAGGAAGATCGTTAACAAGACAGAGCAACACAATGGCTGCACCATGAGCTCACGCACGCCATCACCGTGAGGGTGGCCAGACCGGGCCGGTGCACTCTTCTGCACATGGAATCATTAGCAGATGGAATCATCTCAAAGGCACCTGGCCACAGTGTCTGTGGGCGCAGACGGCCACGCCAGTGATCTACTCTACTGTATGCGTGGTCACTGCAAGTCGAAACCAACTAAATGAGCTGCGACCAACTCAACTCACTTAGTGCACTCTCTCGGGACGAGGGAAAGCAGCCAGCATGCCCTCAGAAGGTGGAGGTCCATGCTGGGGGAGCCTCGAACTCCCATGTTAGCCTCGTGGTTCCCTGGGTGACGCGGGCCACCCCCACCACAGGACACTTGTCACGTCTGGAGACATCATTAGATTTCACAACTGGTGACACGGTACCACTGGCATCGAGTGAGGAGAGGCCAAGAATTCTGGCCAGCACCCCACAGTGCACAGCAGCCCCTACAGCAGAGAACCATCCAGCCCAAAATGCCAACAGCGCCAAGACTGAGAAGCGAGAGTGAAGGAGACACTGGAGTCTTGTGGTCAGTACAACACGTCTTCCCAAGAGCAGGCATCTCACTGGAGCCACCTGAAGGAATGAGAGTCATGAGAAAGCAGACACACAGCGAATTCTGACTGTCACTGGACAACAACCGCCTTAGTGGGGACCTGATTTGCCAAATAAACTCTCACCAAAAACACAACTGAACACAGACGGAGGCCTTTTATAAAGCCATTCATCTCTGTTATAAAGCCATTCATCGCTCTGTTATAAAGCCATTCATCGCTCTATTGGTTGTCCCAATAACAGTATTAGGAGTATGATCAAGAACTTTCCCCAAATTTGTCCAAGACAGAAGTCACAAACTCTGGAATGAAGGCCAGCTAAGTGACCTGGAACAAGCCGCTCCAAGCCTTGGAGTCCCCGACTGCTGGGGGAGTCACAGCATGTTCTACACCCCCTGAGAAAGGAGCAGAGACGACGTGCGGGTGGCGGCTGAGTCCAACTTCCACCTGTTTCACAAAGGGGAACTGTCCCCAACAATAATAACCACAGCAGCAGACAGACAGACAGCTGCACGGTCAGCTATGCCACCCCTCAGCTCCTGCACCTCCTTCTACCAACCATCTGGGTCTGATACTTGCTGCCGACTCACACGTTTTACTTACAAAGTCCAGGTTCGGTCTGGCAGCACAAATGCAAAAAAGCCTCCAGTTTCCTCAATCATCCAGCAAACACAACCTCTGACTGTGACTACACCTCCCAGGTTGCTCCGGTTCTGACTTGCCACAATCTCTTCACCTTTCTTTCCATCGTCAGCACCAGGGTACCTCACAGTGTGGAAAGCACTCTCTTATCTTGGTCCCACAGCTGTTAATGATCTGCATGACGATGCGTCCACAGTGAAGGTAGCTGACAATACAAGGTCTAGAAAAACCAATTTCTAAGGGTTCTGACACCCCCTCCCCTTACAGGGAATGAGAGTTTGTCTCCAGTCATGGGATGTGAAGACCAAGTCATGAACAGAGTCTTAAGCTCAGGTACAGTCAGATCCCAGAGATGTTTTAGGCTCAGTTCCAGATCAATGCAATAAAGTGACTATTAAGATAGAGCCGGTCATAGGATATTTTGTTTCCTAGTGCTTGTAAAAGCTACACTGATGCTATAACATTAAGTGTGCAAGAATAGTAAAAGAAGTCTGAAAGATTGAGAATGATCCAAATTAGACCAGAGGCACAAGGTCAGCACACACTTGCTTGACAGAGGGTTACTACAAATAAAAATTCATAAAAAAAAGGATTATCTGCAAAGCTAAATGACAACATGAGTGATGCTTGTATGTCCCCTCGCCCCGCCTGTCAAACTCTAGACCCTACACTTCTCCCCAGTGAGGAGCTGAGCTGTTTCTCTGCGCTGTCAGGCTGCTTCTTACAACGGCACCCCCACTCTATGAGCAGTAACCTCTGATCTATTCCCTCAGAAGGTTCCAGGACAGCTGCCCCACCACCACGTCAGGAATGGCCATAAATTGGGTCATGAGCAGTCACATGACCAGTTCCGGCCAATGAGGATTGTACCCAGACCCTCTGAGCAAGCTCTGGGAAAGAAGTGTTCTCACTGGACCTGGATGGCCAAACAAGTGGGAAGGAAGGCTGGCAGGCAAAAGGCCGGTGGTGGCCACCAAAAGGGGATGGCTGACAGCGGACCTGAGAGTGCAGCTGACCTGGAGGAACACAGAACCTGGAGAAGAGACTCACTCCCCAAAGTCTCCTATGTGAACTCCTGATTCCAGGGCTCCTCGTGGTTCACTCCACCTCCTGTCTGAGCCAGTCTGGAGCTGAGTTTCGGTCCCTGCCAAGAAGGCAGGAGGCCGAGCGCCACACCCGCGTACCTCTGGAGTGAGTACTTCAACTCCTTGAGCCGCTTCTTCTGCTTGTTGATGGAGCCGCTGCACAAGGTCTGCAGGGCAGTCAGTTCCTCCAGCTTCTGCTTGTAGATCTTGTGGGTTTCCTACAGGACACAGGACGTGGAGGGGGAAAACGAGTCATTTCCATGAAGTGCTGTGATCACACTGGACAGCTTCAATGGTGCACTGGCAAGGTGGATGGGACAGTGCAGGCTGAGGCTCGGGGACAGCAGCCTGGCCAGCACCAGGGTCGTAACTGCTGCCTTTCCTGTCTCGCTTCCTTCCTCCCGTGGGCGCCAGCGAGCAAATACACCTTTGTCAACTCTTAGTCTAGAGGATCTGGGATGTTGACTGCCTCTGCCGCCAAGTGTCTCAGATGGAGTTTTAACCAATCAGTATCTACCAACCCCGATTGGTTCAGTGGACACATGACTCAAACTGGGCCACTGAGTGTCAGGTCAGGGATTTTGGCAGAATTCTTGGTTTAGAGACACTTCCTTTGTCCTGGGATTGCTAATCTGGTAAGATGCCTCTGGGGCTTTGGAGTTGGGGAAGCCAGCCCGAGAATGAGGCCCAGCGGCGGAAATAGAATTTAGTAAGAAGAGAGTTCTCGTGGTATTTCAGCCCCTAAAGGTGAACAGGTGTGAGCTCGGTGTATAAATGAACAAAGTCCTTTTCACGTAAAGCAGCTTGTGTTAAGTCTGCTGCTGGCAATAAGCGAGGCCTCATGAAGTCACCAGGAGAAGGTGTTTCCTCCCTCACAGCCAGGTTCCAGGACCTCCAGAGGAGGCATGCCAGGACCCCGACACCTCATCTTTGGAAATGACCACTCAGGATTCACGGTGGGAGAAACACAAGGGAGCACAGAAACGGCCCAACAGTTTCCGCCTGGCACGTTCCCCTAGTAACTAATGCCGTACGTGGGGACACGGCCCCTTACCTCGAGAGTCGTGGTCACCATTCAAACTGAACACCACCAATTTGCAGAAACCAACGTGGATATGAGGACGATGATTCTAAAATGAGTAAACCCACAGGACCCACGGTTCAGGGACAACTCGGTCAACTGGCGTGACACGGTCCACAACCATCACGCGGGGTCCCCTCGCGAGGAGAGCAGTGCAGGGGGTCTTACAGGTTTGTCTGTAAGTGCTCATCTAAGACACAGCTTCATGTTTAGAGTCGCCAAGAGCCAAATGGTAGGAAGGTAACGGGAGGTTCAGAGAAGCAGCAAGCCTGCAGTGGCCAGCCCCTCATCGACGCTGGGCTAGGAACTGGATGGTGCCCGGTGGCTCCACTCACCGTGCTGGGCGGGTCCCCAGTAACCGGTCCCAGGTGGATGGGGGAGCAGAACTCAAATGCTTACTTTTTTAAAAAGCATTCCAGGGCTCTGGTGGCCTAGTAGCAAGAAGCTGCTCTGCAATTCCAGAGGTGTGCTGTTCGAATCCACCAACTGCTCTGCTGGAGGAGGGACAATCTCCTCCTATACCAGCTACATCTGATGTGACGGTACACACACACACACACACACAAAATAATAATAATTTTAAAAAAAGCTTTGCAGGCAAAGTGGAACAGAGAAGTGAGGCCCTTCTGTGACTGCCACTCTGGCTGTTCAAGCCCATTCCCTGAGATCACTGCTCAGGAAAGAGCAGGGTGGCACACGAGGATGTGCACTCAGACGACAGGAGCCCAACTTCAAAATCATCAACAGGCCCCAAAGGGCCAGCAGATTCTCAAAAGCAAAGATAATTGGGGGGGCACATGGGGACACACACGACAGGAACCCTAGAGTACTTGAAAAAGAACAAAAACAGGAGACTAGAGCAAGGGCTACATGGTGGAGGGGACCTGAGGGAGGGTTTGTAAAACAATGAAAGAATCTTTTCTTTTACTTTTCCATAATTTTTGGACTCATGTACTTATAACTTGTTAGTCAAATTTGTGTCTTCTAGGTTGCAACACCCCCATGATACATCTTCAAGGATATGAACATGTACGGCCAAGCACAATCAATAAGAGTGCATCTAAATTCCAAAATCAATCTCCATAATAGTCTATGTGTTTCCTACTGCCAAAGGGGCCCTTTAGAGTAGTGAGAGAAGATCTTCACCCTGAAACCCACAGCGTCCCTTTTCAGCAGGAAGTAGCTAAGAGAATACGCCATCCCCTTTTCCTTATGACTCAGGGTGAAGTCTCTCTCAGGGAGGAGTGATAGGGAATGGCAAAGGACACACTGACAAAGAAGATTAATCAGAACTGGCTTTGACAAGCACTGTGGCATTTGGACAAGAACAAACTGGGAGGAGGGTAGAGAGAATAGTGCAACAATGAATGAATGGAAACCCAAAATCTCTGTAAAGGTTTATGAAAATTAATAAAATATAGAAAAAAAAAAAAGAACAAACAGAACACTGACACATTAGGGAAATGTAACTAATGTCACTGCTGTTCAGACATTTCTGTAAAAACTGTCAAATGGGAACCTAACTTGCTTTGTAAACTTTCACTAAGTTATTACTATTACACACACACACACACACACACACACACACACGTAACCTTGACCAACCCAGTAAATCAGTAAACGTCTTTAAAGCAGCCGAGCAGAGTCCCTACACATGAAGGTTAAACAAGAAAAAAAGGAAGAAGTGGAAGCACCAGGGGCCAGGGACTCGGAATAACAGCCAAGCCTCCGCTGCACGTAGGCCTGGGCCCAGTCCCCGGAGCGAAGCGCACCTGCCCCTGCCTCCACACACAGCTATTGTCTCTCTGTCTCTCTCTCTCCCTCCCTCCCAGATCCCCAACGGGAGAGGGGCATGGGGCATGTCTTTTTGTTGCTGTTATTATAAATGTCATTTAATTCATTTCAACTAATAATTCACATAATTGAATGAAAAATAATTTCAGATAGTAATTTTCCAATTTATGAATTTTCCAATTACGAGACCCGCGCAAAGCCCTCTCACCTTTGCAGACTGTCATCACCCCATATTACTTTATTCTCACATGTGAGCACACACACTTCTACATCAGAAACCAGCGAGACGACAGCCGCGGGTCACATCCTGCCGACCACCACCACCTGGATTTATACGGACAATAAGCTAGAAATGGTTTTCACACTCTGCAGTTGTTGGAAAAATCAAAGGGAGAGGAACCCATGACATGTGAAAACGACATGAAATTCAAATTTCATGGTCCATAAATAAAGTTTTATTGGCACACAGCCACAACCAATTATTTATATATTGTCTATGGAGGCTTTCACACTGTGACAGCAGAGCTGAGGAGCTGTGACAGAGACAGGACGGTCTGCGAAGCCAAAAATACTCACTCTCTGGCCTCTCACCAGAAATGTTTGCCCACACCCATTGGCCACCATTTCAGACTTAGCTGCCGACACCATGCCTCTTTGTTCTTAAGTCAGTGTGTCCCCTGAGAATGACATTCTCTTAGATACACACAGTACGTTCTGTTACTCTACCACCTGTCTAAGTTATCTGGTGCTGCTAAACGCTGATAGCGTCCCTGGGTCTGTTACAAATGGAAATGCCTTCTCTCACAGAGTGCTGAGGTCTCCATGTGGGACAACGGCTCCGTGACACACAGCAACCAAGTTCCACGGCACTCAGCCCCGCCTGTCAGGCCATTCACATGGTGGCGGTGCTGTGTGAGCCTCTGTGCTGGTCAGTCTCAGTGTAGGAGGCTGCACGTTCAAAGGCAGGGGGCCCGCTGGTGGAGAAGGCTTCTCCTCCTGGCCTTCAGCACCTGTGCTCTGGAGCGCTGGAAGTCCTCGAGCCTCAGCACCACCATCCCACACCCAGAAGGCTCCCAGCTCCACCCTGCCTCTCTGCTCGGTGCCCTGCTCTGATCTCTGTTCATTTCTTTCACCTCACATGGACTGATGCAAGATACAACCTAACCCTGCACACTGCATACAGTCATTAACTGAACTGCCACTAATCCTGCCTCATTAACAACCAGTGAGGATTTACAACCATCGTGCAATTACATCAACTCACAAGATAAGGGCAATTGGACGGTCCTGGGATCATGGCCTAGCCAAGCTAACACAGGCCTGGGGCGCAAGGGCAATTCTAGTCATAAACCCCAACACACATTATGCTAACTGCCCCAACAGTGGCCTTTAACACCAATCTCCCCAGACCCGGGGACCAACTCAGGCTCACGTCTGTAATCCCACTCCTCTCTGCTCTTGCTCTTAGGTCAGCTCCCGATTCATGGTGACCAGGAGTACAATGTCTCCGATCTTCGGAAGTGGACCATCAGCCTGTTCCACATCTGTCCTAGTTGAGAAGCTCAGCTGACACCTGCTGGCATCATGCCAACTCCTCCACCTCCACGGTCAGACAGGCAGATGAGGAGCTTCACCCAGGACTCGAACTCAGGTCTCCTGGAAGTAACTCCCTCTCCACTGTCAGACAGGTGGCTGCCTGTGCCTCACCCAGGACTCGATCCCTCCACTGTTAGCCAGGCGGCTGTGGTGTCTTGGACCGGAACTCAGCTCTCCTGAACGGTAACGCCCCCTTGGTACCCTTCCTGCCACCCAACCTAGAAGCTCTTCACTCTCTCTTGCCACTGACCTGCTGTGAGTCCAGGCTGCAGGTGTCCAGTCACCTTGCTCTGGGACCATTCGTTATTCTGCACTGTCTCAGCCTGGATTTGCCTGCTGTCCCCTCCGGATCAGATTTCTAGCAGCATGTGAGGCAAGAATGTCATAGCCGGAATGCTGGGCACCAGTCGGAAGGATGTGGCGTCAGGGACGTGCACTCTGACGGGTTCCCCACCATCTGGTCATCACCTCCCTATTTGTAGTTAACACATGAGCCGTAGGACAAAGGCCTCTCATGCACCCAGAGTTCTCCCGACGGCACTCTGCATTCCACAAGGACCTGCTGGCCCTCCTGAAAACCCCCATACCCAAGTCACCCTGCAGTCTGCAGCTGAAGTCACCCATGACTCAGCCTCCAGCAGGCAGCCGCAGGCCCCCGGGGTGAGCAGGGGCGAGGAGGCACGCACTCCTTAGACCAGTCAACTGGACGGATCAGCAGAGTGCACGTGCCCGGCAGCGCCCAGAAGG